TGAAGTAGTTCCTAAATTTAAGAATAAATTCATCATATTTGATAGCTGTCAAAAGGTATAATTCTACTCTTTCTGTAATTCTTTTATTTAATTTTATAAGATTGTGACTGAAAGCTATAATAAACTAGGACATTTTCTTTAAGTACAGCCGTAATTGGGTTTCAAAATTATTCACTGGTAAAATAATGTATCATTCATTATGCTCATGGTTGCTTTAGAGTGTATAGTCCCAAGCTTTGCACTTTATGTCGCAAAGTCAATGAGATACAATAATTTGATATACCGTAAAGGTGCCATGATCATGAAATTGGATGCTAATATTGCTCATGAAGATGATATTTTTAATCCTAAAGAGCTATTTGCTAAAGTCATTGCCAACATTATCTGAGAAAGTGATGCAATCAAGCAAAATTTACGGAAATTGACTTTAGAAAGATACAACAATAGATCGGCATTGCTTAATGGAATACGCATATTAATATTAATAATTTGTAAAGTTAGCTGAAGATAATATGTAGCTAGCGCAATCTTTGAACAAAAATTAGACCTGGAATGCTTAATACATATGATCAGTTTAAATATTATTCCGGCTAATAATTAATAGTAATTCTATTATGTGAGCTTTAAATCACCTAGCAATAATTGGAATTCATTCTTGAATTTATATTTGAATTTATTTTCGGTTTAAATTGTTTAAAATGTGATTAAAGTATACTATAGCTATCAAAATAGCAGTCATGGTCGAATAATTCATTTAATAAAATCATTAGTCTATCTTTACTGAACATTTTCGATACTCATAGAACATAAGGAGGTAGTTCTTGGATCGTAAGGATGAACAAGTTTCTTTACGATTTAACATCTTTAAATTGACCTCATAGGCAATAACGAATTGGAAAGGTTTTAATGTTGTATATAAGTCTAATACCGAATTCTTCATTTGTTGATTTCACTAAGTGGTTAACGGTAATATGATCCCTATAAAATGAATGTATAGGAGTATACTGTTTTTATAAAACATTAATATTGTTTAACACTATCTAATTCTAAATAAACCAAATGATACTAAGTAATTGCGTGTTTATTGTATGAAAAATCAGTGGTAAGGTATATTATATTATTTAAGTAATCAGAAACACGTACGAATATTGGCTACCAGGAGATCCTGGTGATCTGATCAAACCTTTCATTAATATAGACGTTACTTCATCAACTCAATAATTCATTTAATCCAATTTTAGGCTATATCGAAGCAAGTCTAACATGAATTATCGGTCATCTATCCATGTTACAAGCTAGGAATAGCCCTAACTTGTGATAAGAGTCGAGAGTATGATAGCTAATTTACACTACTATAAATTGGTATACCAATCAGTTGATATTTTTGCGTAGATGTAACTAAGATTGAGCACAGTGAGGCCTCCAATCTCTCTTGGAATCACATAATCTACTTAATTGCCGGTGAGGCCGCATCTTACATAGGTTTAAGTTCCTAAAACCGGTTTAACTATACGAGTCGTCTTCTTGTCTTTTAGAAATTGGCTTAATTAATAGTATAAAGAGTCTCCATTTGCGTAAGTTCTATGCCGTCTAATCCTATTAAATTGGCTGCATTAGTATTAAATTAGTCAATTTCAAATAGTAGTTTAAATAATATGTATTAGGCTATCCTATAAAGATAGATTATCCTAACTTGGCATATGTGCTTTCAATTTTAACATCCTTCGAGGTGATAGATTCAATTTCGTTAAAGTAGTTCGCAATTAGTGGGCAATTACTATTACAGTCTGACGTAATCCTAAATCAAGGATTACTAATACATCAACTGTTTGCCACTAAAATTACAATCAAGGAGACCGTAAACATTGCTGAAATGTTTGTATATATAGAACATAACATGAATATAATGTACTCTTAATGAAAATTAACTTTCGTTCGACCCAATTATGAAATATATTTTATAGGACATGAGAGTTCACTTCTATTTTCTGCCTTCGATTATTGTGACGTAAGATGGCACGGGTCTATTCTATTCAGTAATAAGAATATTATTTCTCAAACTACTAAAAATACTAATTCTAAATCAGACAATACCAAGGAGAGTATGATCTTAGGGATTGAAAGGCTCTAATTCCGCTCTATCATCTTATGCCAAAATTTTCATTAAAGAATAAAATAGTTTATTACACAAAAGTCCCTACATAAAGGTATTCTACCATATCCGCTTTAAAATATTTTCACCTTCAATGCGATTCTTTGTGATTAAAATGCGTCTAATTAATAAATGATAATAAGGAACTGATTTGTAATATTGAAACAATATATAAGACGCAACAACATTAAAAAAAATACTATTTACTAATAATAACGCAAATTAAAAAGATTTTGATAAATAAGTGGGGGCCAGAAAGAATAAGAGTGTTCTATGAACAGCTATAATTCGATTTATTCGCAAAGGTCGTTAAAAACTAATCCTTTATTTCTGTTTTGTATTATATTGCCTTTCATGGATTCTTTCTCATCTGACGGATGCTGATTGTATCTTCACAAATTCTTTCCCATCTAACGGATACAGATTGTTTTTGAATAGAATGAGCCTGCAGTAAATGGATTTATAATCTACCAGGTTTACTCTCCACTAACTCGAAATGTGAGTTATAAAAATTTTGTAAAACTCTCGTAAGGCATAATTACTGACTATTCTACTTCCTAGTGCTACTATACTTTATGCTACTGTCGTAGCTAGCTGAAATTTCTACAAAGCTTCTAGACGAATATTCACTAAATACAATTATCAATTCTTCTCATTATATGTCCCATTTATCTTCCATTTCGTATTGATAATTCACTTTATTGAAAATGATGCTAATAAATAGATGATTTATTAGTTAAAAATATAGTAAAACTAAATAACTTATTAAGAATAGTGTTAAAAACCACCCGGTAGGATATAATATTTCATCTATAAAACGAGAGAAAGATAAGTGGAAATAATTACGTATTCGTTTAATCATTACAATCTTTAATATTTTGCTACAATTCAATTACCGCAGTATCCTAAGATGGAATTGACGATAGTTACAACAAAGATTTTAACTGAAGAGTTCCAAATCGGCTTATATAACTTATGTATATATTGATTAATATGTCTTAATTTGTCGCAATTTAAAGCTTAATAGTGAACTTGTCAATGAAATTTCAATTTAAATGATATGATTAGTATCTACTTTCCTTAAGTGAAAGATAGATGGTAAATTATGTTAATAAAGTTTAAAGAATAGTCTCAATGCAAAGAGACTAAGGATAGATAGAAATTTGAATTTGCGAGATACGGTAACTAAAGTAAAGTTCTACCAATAACGCGAAGTATTTAATACTGAACTCAGCAAAAAAACTTATAGTCCTTAATATGTTTAGAAAGATAGATAATATTTGGTGATAGATTAATTTTGCAAAACTTATACCATCATTCAATACTATTGCATCAAAATGTTTAAAATGCGGTACAGATATTTATTAACAAGGAGATGATAATCCAAAAAAGACTAGATAGCTCTAAAAAAGCAATAGTAAATTGAAAAGTATTTCACTAGTGCTTGTACTGCAATGGGCTATGATCATCTGCTGTAGAATTATTCTATAATTGATTTTTATTTAAAGATTAAATTATGCGGCAGAGTTTATCAGATTAATAAATAATCTTCATCAGCAAATAAGATAGTCTCTCAAAATTTAAATTTTCATAGCGATCTGCTAGGGTAAAAGTTCATTTTTACCACAAAATCACCACGAGACTATTTTCTTAGTAGTGAGATACACGATGAAGTTAACTAAACATGATAAAAATTGATCTTTTTAACTATGTTAGGTATTTTGCTGATAGTCATCGACCGTTATATGGATGCTTTTAGCGGTCGTATTGCTGGTAGTTTTTGGATGAATACACTTACAATTAACTAACAGTTTAACAAATTCAGCACGATAGTACTGATTCGTGGAAGCGTAAATGAAGGGATTAATACATGAATTAAGTAAGATTAACAATTTGGTGGCGAAATGGCCATCATTGCCAATAAAGGCAACACCTAAATTAGCTAAAGTAAAATAGATGACATTGGGTAGCCAACACAATAAAAATGCTAACGATGTAACAGCGCAAGTTAGCGTAATTCTATTTTTAACACGATAGGCTGCTGTCGCTTTTTTATCCATATGCTGTTGTAAATTGCGAATAGTTGATCGCATATAACGCCAAATATCGGTGTAGCATGTAATGACACATGCCATGGGGAATAAAAATCGAAAGCAGAATAGGACTAAATAGATTGCGGTATTAAATGCTTGCCCACCAGGTAACGGCTGCCAAATACACGGAGGATTCTCACTAGCAACGTAATGAGATTGAAATAAATTACCAAATACTAAGAGTAAACCCCATATCCAAACACCTAGCACCGTCCATTTTGTTCGTTTCATTGTAAAATAGCGTGCATGTAAATTCATTTTAACTACAGCATAACGCCTTTCAATGCTCAAAACACACAAGGTATACATGGAAATAAATCCAAAACCGAATGTAAATATCTCGGATCCGATAATCATGCAAAATAATTGACCGGCTAATCCTGGTGGTGGATGAACATAAGCTTCACGTATGATATGTTCTGGCGTCACAATAATAAATATACCCGTTAAGAAATCCACTAACGCTAAATTCCATATTAATACGCCATGGGGGAAGTTGCGAAGTTTACGGCTATATAAGAATAGAATAAAGACCAACAAATTGCCAACGATACATAAAATGGCAATGAGAGAAAAACCAATCTGGGTGCCAATGCCACCATTATAATTGTGCCCACTGATATTCTCCTTTGGATCTTCCGCAGGGGAAGAATTAAAACTGATATTCATGGCCATACGATACTAATTCTAAATTAAAAAACAGGGTAAAAAAGTTCTTGGAGAAACCGTGGAAAGAGGAGTCCAGGAATTTGGATGGAAAAATGAAATACCTTATTGATCAATATAACGAAAACGTAACTGAGGTAAATAAGCATTCTTAAAGTGTATTTATAGTTCATTTCCCTATTGCTAATCACGATATAGGTCTATTTGAATACTACGTCAATATTCAATGATGCTGAATTTCTTGATTAAAACTATTCTCATTTCTTGTAGAATAAAAAGCATTACTACTATTCAATAATCAGGCTGAATTATTGCAGAAAGGTTACCAACAATAGAAATCAATAAAAGATTTTAAACTGGCCAATTAATATTTGATTTTTATTCTATCAGTTGCACCTGCCGCCTAGTAAATAGCAATAGACGTAGCGTTTGTATACTGACCAATAATGAAATTTTAATATAATTATTACAATATAAAGAATTTGTTAGAAAAAATAATTGAAGCAAATGTAATCATCCATGTAAGATTTTATCCAACTATTAATACTGATTGACACGACAGAAACGATATCATTCATTACTATCCGTAGCATATTTTGCTATCTTAGTTACCTTGATCGACTCCTTATTCACGGTAGCGATATAGCTAATGATGAAAATTAGGCGAAAATATCGATTAATTCAAATACTGAGAGTCCAAAGGGTGTGGGCCATTGATAGTTGCTATGATTAATTATGATATTTGATTGAAAGGGATTGATTAAGGGAACAAAACGAGTTTTAAGCTTTTTTTGATTTTTACGCATCGAATTAATTGTAAGAAGAATATTTATCGTAAGAATAAGAAAATATGAGATAGAAGAAAGCTTAATAGAAAATCTGTTGTTTTGACTAGCATAGTTCAAGTCCATTATTGTGTTGATATCATGATTTACTTCACAAATACAATGAAGATATTTTTTAACTTTGATTGAATTGAATCAATAAACTTACGTACATATTGACATTTCTACAGGCGTTCAAATCATGACTGATAGCTACTATGGAGTTGAAAGCTAAATTTCAGTATTTTTCGCCATTTCAAAATCTTAAGGAAATAATCCCGCTAATTAAATAAATGTTGACGTCTATAATTAAAATGAAATCATATTTTTATTCTTACCGGCTGCTTTCTACATTTCCGATGAGACTGATGACAACCCATCTCTTATAAAAATTTTTGTTAGATAACTTTTAATCCGTTCATGAAACTGTATTATACCGTACCTAAGTGGGCTTCAAAGCAATGAATTCAACTGAAATACTCCACCTTCTAATGTTAACGATACGGAAGATTAAATGTCAAATGAATAATGATCATGCCAGTAAAAGGCTTATTAATCTGAATTTAATATTAAAAATACCATTAGTTATACAGCACTAATTACATATTTCAGTTACAAAGAGAAGCTCGTGTTGTTTTTGTTACTAATTACATCACTTAATCAATGGATAGACTACCTATTTAAGTCAATTTAAATTGGCGATCTATTAACTTACGTTTCGTGCATATGATTATCAAAGCTAAGGTATCTTATGGTTAACATCTAGGTTGATATTGTCACCAAACAACTTATTTTAGGCAACCGTCCTCCTCCAAACCCCAGTCTAGAACTAAAATCAAGCCTAATCTTCAGCCCAATATTGAGTCTTGTAAGTATTTGAATAACAGCTATTGAAATTTTATTACTGTTCTGACACCAGCAACATGTTTTGCTGATACTATAGTAACCAAAATAAACGCTGTGAAGCGCTCGCTAGTCCTTAAAAGATTGCAGTCATAGATCTTTATTAAATTTGATACAAATCAGTAATGTTGCTATAGATTAAATAAGATGCTAGGTTAATACCATTCGGCAAGTTGAGAAAATCCCTCTAAAGTTTTCAAATTTCAAAATCGTTTTACCTAGTTTATTAAATTCTATCATAATGGAGAATATTTGATTGTTTCTATTTTCTAAACAATTTTTTATTTTTATCCCAGGCAATAGGATGCTAATTTTAAGATTGTTAAGATTATACCTAATAAAATAGAAAAATTACTTATTTGGTAATATTTAAACTAGCAACCGCTAGTTTATGGAGGTAGTAAGGCTCTTTATAAATGCTTCAGCATTGAATTAATTAATTAACTCTTAATCTCAAATACTGTATTTATATCACTCTTGTATCACATGATTGAACAATTCTTCTATAGCAAGTAATACAATACTCCTCTAAAGGAGATCATTCCATAAAAAGCGACTTTCAGTAAAAGACGCAGAAATGCTATTAAGATTCGTAGAATAGTAAATATACAGAAAAACGAAATAAAAATTTTTAAAAGAATGTGAAATTTTATGAGAATTAACATGACTTTTATAATATCAATAAAGAGTGCTAATCTGTACTTAACATGTATGTCTTAATAAAATTTTAAAAGGTGGACATGAATTATCTTTAAGGGCCGATAACGTTTTCAGACGGAAAGAAATAATGCAATTATCGAGAAGGAAGTACAAATCATATGGACTGCTTAATTTAGAACTGTTTATATGACCGATTTATTCGGACTTTTGCGAATAATTTCTATGGTCTAAAGTAATGAATTGGCATGTAGTTTGGATAGCATACACCTGAATGTAATAGTAATACTACAGCATTAATGGTACAGGAGTTATGGCATGATCTAGTAATCACATTAACTACCAAACAGCAATCATTTTTTAATTTTATACCGATTCAGTTAGCAGACCCAGTTAGCTACCCTTCGAAATTTATTTATTATCGACTTAACTATAAAAGTCATATTTGAATCCTATATGAATGGAAGGAAACGAATAGGTTAAATGACAAGTGTCTAACAGGCTTAGGAAATGCAAATTTAGTTTTAGTACCAAAACTTTCATTTTATTTTTAATCATTTACCATCACAAAAAATAGCTGTAATATAATAAAAATTAAAGTCTAGTTATGAATAAATAATCCTTAATAATGAAACAAATGATCATAATTTTCACTAGATTGATATGTACCTAATTGCAAATTGACGACTTTTATAAGAACTAACATATGAACATAGGCTGTCAAATTTACATTTTATTGATTTTTGTATCCGTATATTGCAATTATACTTTTTTAAATATGGCTAAGATAAAGTTAACACCCTCTATTATTAATTATCATAGCTTTCTAGAAGTTTCGTTTTAGGATTGGTATCAGCGACTGCGATGTACTTCTCATATGAGGTTGATTTATTTATTTAGCTTAGCGGTAATTCTCTTATCGTCTTACTCAGTTATCATCTAGTAATAGATCTAAATCTGATTCATAACGGCTGAAGAGAACCTATCCCGTCAAAGTGAATTATTCTGCTACAAAGCAAACATTAAACTTAATATCTGCATACCATTGCCAAGCAATCTATTTCGTGCTAATCAATTATTTAGAACGTTTAAAAATATATTGCAATCTAATATTTCAAATGCCTTAAATGTGAAGTCTTAATAGCTTAAATTTTTATGTCTTCGCTACATTATATCATCTGAATAAAATTGATTAAGTTTTCTGTGATTGGTCTCTTACTTAAAAATAAAGCTAAGCTCTTGTTTCATCTGGAAAGAAAATGGTAATGACAATATGACTGGAAATATCATATCTGTATTAAGTAGTAATCATAAAAAAATTTGTGAACCAAACATTCTGTGTAGTATAAAGAACTTAAAAATCAGTTCATTTTAGCACTTTATCTTCCTATCGATACACACATTCGTATTTATCTTACCATACATAACCATTAAATCGTATACATTAAATCGTATACTAAAGCTGTCTGATTTTTTTCTACAGAATTTAACGTCGAGGATAAATTTTTGTTAGACGTTTGTTTTTAAATTAACCAACTCTTTCCAATTACTGCGAATCATTTATCCAGATTGATTAAGAAACATTAATGTGAAGTAACTAGAGAGGAAGTAAAGGAACGAAAATTTATTAACTCCTGAGAATTTATCAACCTATTCCAAGAGTAAAAATTACAAATAGAAAAAATATACTAGTATAAAAATTTGCATCAAGTTTCCAGACAGATTCAATGCTTACATGGTACTAAAATAACAAGTAAATTAGCGATAAATAAGGCTAATTTGAGGAGGAAAGTTATGCATGTAAAAATTTTAGCTTATTGCGATAGTAAGATATACAGTCAAAATTTGCAGGCAATTATTGTGAAAATTTAAAGAAAATACAGATCGGCAAGCAGTCTTATGGTCGAATCTAGTTATTGAGCCTATCCAATCTCACATTTGAAACTAAGTCTAATTTCCAAAGTAGAACATTTTTATTGGCTTTTAGAATCTCTTTATAATACCAAGCATTAAATAATAATAATTAAAATATAGTAATCCAAAGAGTTTCATCAATCCATCAATATAATTGATTATGTAAAATTCAGATAGTTAATACCTTGAGATTCCTTTTAAATGTTATGCAGCTAATAGAATTTTTCGGAAATGTATATCTAATACTAAATTTAATTATTATGAAAAAACACTATGGTAAATCTTTAAACGCAGTATTAAGATTTCTCCTAAAAACATCAATTTTCCGATAACTTACGAAAGGCGTACAAATAATTATTCTAATAGGTTACGAATCTATCACCTGATTTTTCAATTGTGTCTCAGCAATTGGGCTCAGAATGATCGATAGGAGGGTTATCAGAAAAATCAAAGAAAGAATGCATATTAACGTGCAATAGATATTTTTAATTTACTTTACAATAAAGTTCATATATGGAAAAGCTATCAAAGCTAAACTATGAGGATTTAGGTTCACTAAAGTTTCACTGCAATATTAATCAACGGCCGTTTCCTAGATGAAAGGCATTGGCTTTCATAATCTACTTAAATTTTAGTATGATATTCTACAGTCACGTTATCTATAAGAAGTGATCGCCAAATTTTGCCTTATGACCGAATGTTTAAGTATGT